GGGTGGGGAGAGATTAATAAAAGAACTTATATGCTTATATGCATAACAATAGTGGGGTGGACGCAGACAATAGTGGGGTGAAGGCCTGGGGTGGGGCACAGATGTGGGTTGGAGGAGATCAATGGGGGAAAAGGAGGTTATCTGTAATACTTTCAACAATAAAGATAATAAATAAATAAATAAATAAATAAATAAATAAATAAATAAATAAATAAATAAATAAATAAATAAATAATAAATTCAGCAGTATAGCCCAGGTCTTTTCTGACTTTTTCTGAGCTCCTGTGTGATTAGATCGGGACATTCAGGCAGCTTATTTTAACTTGAAACATGATGTTCCTCCTCTCCTGTCTGTAACTATAATATAGCTCTCTAATTCTAAATTCAACCTAATCTGGATCTATGCTATAAATGATGCTATTGCCCAGGATACCAAAATTATCTGCAGACAAAATTCTAGTGTTGCATTCAAAATACTTGCCACTCCTTAGAAGAGTTTCTGCCTCTCCTGTTATCCTGAAAATCTTTGACCAAGAAGCAGTCAAGATTCTGTTGTGTAAGGGAAAAAAACTGGGAGGACATACACTAAAATATGAATAATAGCTACTTTTGGGGTTGGGACTATGAATTATATCTTTTTCTCTTTGCTTGTTTATGCTTCTGTCAACTTGGACTAATTGTTTGGAAAGAGCATATCTTGCCTTTGCATTATAAATATACAAAGCCATACCACAGAAGTCTAATTACACAGGCTGAGTTTTGCTTGTGATATTTAAATTCAATTACACAAGCTATTTTTCTGCACCANCATATCTTGCCTTTGCATTATAAATATACAAAGCCATACCACAGAAGTCTAATTACACAGGCTGAGTTTTGCTTGTGATATTTAAATTCAATTACACAAGCTATTTTTCTTGTTGATTTTTGTGGAATTCTTGGAGGACAAGACCTAGATGCCTGGATTCAGTCCCAGTCTCCTCCTAATGACTGGCTGACCTTAGACTTGGATTTAACCCTTTGTGAGAAGGTAGGACGCATAGCTCCAAGGATGTTCCCTGTGCAGACTGGGTCTCTGAAAAACTTTGTAACTAAAAAATAGTGTATGTCCAAAACCTTTTCAAAATGTGTCCAAAATTAATTTCCACATGTTCTTTGGTGATGAGACCTTGGCCTGCCACGTAAAAGCACGTCATAAGCTAAGCTGTGCGTACTTGGTCAGATATTATGCCTGGGAGATCGTTCCTTCTCATCATGTCTTTTCTTGGGCATCTTAACTCCATTTTGGTACCCAATGTCCTGTGTTGCTAGGGTCAAGTTTGGCCATTGCAGGCCCATCCTAAAGTTATATTACTTCAGCCAGTAGGCTCCCCAAAGCAGAGTTCTTATATTCCCTCATACTTAGCGTTTTTTAGTTTAAATAACTGAACCAAGCATGCTAGGATAAACTGGCGCAGCCACACACGGCAGAACATCACATGCATATCCCTGTCAACTGAAAACATGGAAAGATAAAAATAAATTTGAGTTTCTATGGCTTTACATATATAAATATTTTATGCCTCTGTATTTCACAACCAAGTACATAAATGAACAAACATTTCCCTATGATTTCCAAAATTTAGCCACTTCAAATCCGACAATTTTTGTGTAACTCTCAAATTATTTTGAGTGATATCTTACCAGTGACAGAAATGTTTACTTCTTCCCAAGTTGCTAAAAAACAAGCATTTGATAGTCTGTGAGCAGCCTGGTACTGCTCGTGTCTGATACTGATGAGCATTGTGTTCCTCCCGGTGACCCTGACACTGAGCCACCCAGCTTCGTTGTCTCCCGAAATCCAGGACTTCACCCGGCACAGCCAGAGGGCCTGGGAAACTTCATCTCCCTCCCACTGGAGTGATGACAGACCTCTGTGGAGCCTGCACACTGGTCACCTGGGGCCGTTAAAGGGAGCAGGAGGGCTGAGCATGCAAAAGGCGCGGGGAGGAATGGTGTGTGAAACCTTCGCCATTCGGTGCAACCCCGGCCTCATCCCCCGCAGAGACCACCGCCATCTCCCTTGGCCTGTACTTTAGGACGTTCTTTCCAATATGACCCTTACCCCCCCTGACTCTATTTGCTTTCTTTGTGTGTACCCAAATTATGTCACAGAAAAAATCGAGCTGCCAAACAGCACCAGCATGGAAGTTGAGATGACGCCATCCAGCGATGCTTCAGAACCTGTACAAAACGGAAATCTCTCCCACAGCATTGAAGCTGCTGAAGCCCAGGTATGGCTTCTTTTCATTGCTTTTCTGGGCCACTGTTTTTTGTTTTGTTTTTTGATATCCTAGTCGAGCAGCACAGAGCCCACATTCTCCAGGGAAGCCCCAGCTCCCAGCAGCGAGGACACAGGCCGGGTTTTATTTATTCTCGCGTGTATTTCACAGCCCCAGCCCAGGGCCCCGCATGTATCACATTCTCCATTTATTGAATAAATACACATATTCTCTAAACCACTGCTTCTCAGGGGGAGGTTGGAGGACTCATGCATCAAATCATAAAAATGCAGATCCTTAGGCCATCCCCCAGACCTGTTGAAACAGAACCCCTGGAAGCAGAACCCAGGAATCAGCATTTTTGAACTTGCTTCCCAGATGATTCATATGCACGGTAAAGTGTGATAGCTGCTGCGGTCTGATCCTTTCTCTGTATAGACACCCTGTAAGGTCAGGGTTAAGTAACAGAGAAACCACAGCCCCGTTTGGCCTTCACGGTCACTGCAGCTGAAATTAATCAGTATTGTCTGACCCAATCCACCATTCAGTGGTGCAGCCAGTGGGCAGCTGTTTGACCTAGTGGTTATAATACTTAACATTTATACATACTGTGTGCCACCAATTTGGTGCTAGCCACTCTATACGTGTTATCACCTTTAAATCTCACAGCCAAAGCTATAGTCATTTAGTATCTCCATTTTATATTTGAGAAAGCTAAAGCTTTGCAGGATGGAGTAGTTAATCAGGATTACCTAGCTTGTAGGTAACGAGCTGAGATCTGACCTCAGGACTGTCCAAATATAGCACCTATGTTACTTCCTCCATGCAACTCCGCCTCTATACCACAGTTGCTCAAAAAAACTAGGCAGAAAGAAAAAGTAGGTGGTACTTGTTAGATTTCTGGATCTCATCCTGATCAAGAGAATCAGAATTTCTAAGACATGGAGTCCCAAAGTTGCATTTAATCAGGCACCTAGGTCAGCATTTCTCAAACTTTAATGTGCTTATGAATTTCCTGGCAGATCATGTTAAAATTCAAATCTGTCAGGTCTGGAGTGGGGCCCAGAGTCTGTAATTCTAATGAGCTCCCAGATGATTCTGATGTTGCTGGTCCAGGGACCACACTTTGAGTACCACCACCCTAATGTTTGAGACCCACTTCCCTAGTCAGTTTTCCCAGTGAGCTGAAAAATTAAACAGTGCCCTCAAAGAGAAACCAGACCACCATGACTAGCACAGCGCTCTCTTCCCCTGTATACCAAGAGACACTGCAGCACAGGGATCTGCACATCTTAGGAAAAAGTGCTAATGCAAGAAGTTTCTTCACATAAAGGAAAGAGTAAAGATGTTGAACACTTTTCATATACCTATTGGTCACCTGTATATCTTCTTTGGAAAGGTCTATTGGGGTCCTTTGTTCATTTTTTAATCCAGAATTTTTTTGCTATTAAGCTGTAAGGGTTCCTTATATATTTTGGGTACTAAGCCCTTAAAAAATATACAGCTTTCAAATATTTTCTCCCATTCCATAGGTTGATTTTTCATGTTGATTGTTTCCTTTGCTGTGTTTTTCACAATGTGTACTTAAATCATCAGGTTGTATACCTTAACTATATAGGATTTTATTTGTCAATTATACCTCAAGAAAGCTGAAAAAAATAACTAAAGAAAAGGGTAAGGAAACGGCAGCTGTTCCTGCCCTTGTCTCCTCTACCTTTTGGACCCTTGCCCTCCTGCCCAGAGCCCTGTGGTCCCTCTGCATTAGCTCAAGAGTGAGCTGGCAGAGCAGCTTATGTCCACATGGATAAGCAGCATGTGGCAGCAGGAGGCAGGCCCCAAGGACATCTGGTTGCCCTTGGGGATGGCACAGTCACAGGTGTGTGGAGGGCAGCCAGGTCGCTGTGCCTCTCCATCTGGCTGGCAGAGGGACATCTGTGCCCCCCACAAGGGAGCACCTTGCTACAGGGGAGTGAGAGAGTCCCAGCTGATCCCTCTCTAAGCAAAGCTGTGACCCCCACATATCACACTGGGAAACAGGACAGATCTGTACACCACCCTGATATGCTGAGAGTGCAAGGACAAACAGACCTTCAAAGAGCCACCTGCCAGCCGGCTGCAGGATGACCTGGTAGTGAATTCTAGATCTACCATGGGCAAGTTACCTAACCTCACTTTAGTTTCCTCATCTGCAAAGTACAGATAATAGTACCTGCCTCGTTGGGGGCGTTAGGAGAGTTACCTGAGATAAAGTACATAAAGCGCTTAGCACAGAGCTAAGTCCTTCTATTTATATTATATGTTCAGACTTACTGTATTCACACTATTAAAGGTGTCCCTGCCCTAAAGGAGCTCAGTGTCGGGAAAATGAAAATTATGCTTACATATAAATGCTTGGGGTGGTCAGGATGTAATAAGTAAATAAGTAAACATTTGTGGTAGGTAAATCATTATGGCCCAGTGTCTGTACAAAGTGCTCTGGGAGGAAAGTATAAAGGCTTCTTAGAAGACGTACGTTTGAGCTGGGTGTTAATGGGTGGGTAGGAGAAGGAGGAGACGACCAAGATGACAATATGTGCAAAGATCAAAACCTTAAGAGGGCAAGTCATGATTAGTGATTGGTGAGAAAGCCGGTGGACCTAGAAGTACAAGGTGAAGAGGAGAGAGCCCCCAGAAAAGGTAAATTGGGCTGAAATGCAGCTGTTTAATCAGAAAGTTTTTAGTGTTCATCTAATGAATATGTGTCGGGGTATGCGAGGCACTGGAGGTGCTCACATGTTCTAGCAGAGCAGAGAGACTGCAACAACAAACCAAGATGTCATCACAGATGGCCACGAGGGCCACAAAGAAAAGGAAGCATGGTGATGCCGTGGGGAACTTGCAGAGCAGCCCCTTTAGGTTGGGAGATGAGGGACGGCTACACTCGGGAAGTGGTGTTTGAACTGGGGTCCAAGGAGCCAGCCAAGGGAGCAGCACCCATGGAGGCAGAATTGAGCTTGGCTTGTTTGTGGAACAGGAAAGTCAGTGTGGCTGCAGAGAAAGAGAGGAGGGAGGTAGGAGGGTGGTGATGAGGTTGGACAGGAGGGCCAAGCAGAACTGGCCCACCTTGTAGACTGTGATAAGGACGTTGACTTCCTTCTAGGGCAGCAGCAAGCCATTGGAGGTTCCCACATGGGATCTGCGCTTGTAAAAGATCCCTGGGGCTACAGAGTGGGATTGGATTCGGGGGCAAGACGTTGCGTAACAAGAGCACAGCAAAGAGGCTACTGCAGGAGTAGAGCTGATGGTGGCCCATGGATTGTGAGGGGCACTGTAGATACCACCAAGCAGTCTGAACTTCCCCCGGCGGGAGAGGGGAGCGGTGCAGCATCAGATTTGTGTGATGGGAAGCTAGCCCTTTCAGAACAGTCAAGGAGGGGCCAGAGTGGAAGAAGACTGGATGCAGGGTGGCGAGGGAAGAGCCCGTTGGTTCAAAGATCAGCAAACTATGGTCCGTGGCCAAATCTGCAGCCTGTTTCTGTACAACCCATGAAACAAGAATGTTTTTACATCTTTAAAGGTTTTTTTAAAAGCAGCAGCATATATGACAGAGACCATATGCATCACAGAGCCTAAAATATTTACTGTCTGGCCCTTTACAGAAAAAGTTTGCCCACCCCTGGTTCAGACCATCTGCAGTCCTTCAAAAAAAGAAAGAAACAGGACGGGTGTGCTCTTCATGTGCTGATACGGAGTTATCCTCAGTGTATGGTGTTAAGTGAAAAAGGCAACACGTCAGATGCACCCAGCGTGCTGTACTTATTTGTGTGAGAGGGGAAATGGAGGGAAATAACATGAGCATTTGCTTGGGATGCCGCTGCAGAAACTGGTCATGCTGATAACTTCAAGGACAGAGGCCCGGGTGGTGAGGAACAGGTGTGGGAAGGAGGCTTTCCAGTATGCAGCCTTCTGTAACTTCTGAATTGTGAACCAGTTAACTGTATTACCTATTCAAAAAATGCAACCACAACCGAAACAGTCGTGGGCTCAATTAAAACAGGAGCAGTATGCATTAGTGATTTAAGAGCAGAGCCTCTGGAGACAGACCACATGAATTCAAATTCCAGTCTGCTCCTTCCCAGCTGTGTGACTTTGGACAAGTTACTTAGCCTCTCTGTTCCCCACTTTTCTTCTCTGTGAAACGGGGGATAACAGCACTTAGTGCATGTCATTGTTGTTAGAATAAAATGCTCCTACCAGCTCTTGGCTCACAGTAAGCATTGCATAGGCGTTTGCTATTATTAGAAGCACTTAGTAAAACTTTTTAAAAGTGGCTCTCAAGGCCCAGATGACAATGACTCTGGATTGGATGGCAGCAGCTGGATTTAGATCTATTTCTGAGGCCGCATGGAGAAGACCTGATAATAAATTGGTCAGAGAGAGTAAACAAGAAGAGGCAGTTGGAGATGATGCTGAGGTTTCTGAGCTGGAAAGACCGGGTGACAAGATAAATTAGGGCTGTGGCCCAGAGTTAGAAAAAGGCTGTGAAGTTGGAATGCTCGGGCCGCCCAAAGCACAGTTTCACAGGAGCGATGCGACACATTTCGGTTGTGTTAGTTTTCTCTCTTGCCCAGTTGTGTTTTTATCAATCTACATGAACAGTGAGGCGCGTTCGGCTTTATTAGTGGATGTGATGAGCCCATAGCCACGTGCTTGTTGCTGGGATTCTCCTGAGAGTCTGGTTTCATGTAATTAACCCGCTGTTTTAAAAACCCTATTTACAAGTGAACTAATTTTACATCGACACCTGGTCTCTGAGAGCTTTCTTCAGTACAGACTTTATAACACCGGCAGTGAAGAGCGTTTTAAAATATTCTCTCACAAGGAAGCCCCTTTGCGGGAGGTTTTTGCTTCGTCTGTACATTCTGTGGAACCAGGCAAATAATTTGACTTTTTAAACGGGTGGCGCTCATGATTTCTTCCCATGACTGCGGGCTCAGTGTTGTTGATTCTAACGTAGAGGGAGCTGATTTGAGCTGCTGCTGAGAATCTACCAACCTTCCAGATTTTCAATGTTGGGAATCTATCCAGGTTTGAAAGACAATTCAAAGAAATAGTCTCTCCCACCCAGAACCCAGTATTTTCTTACATTTCAATTCTGCCAGTTTAGACAAGAGCCAGGGGATTGCACACGGCCGGCTAGCTCCACAAGGCTGCCTGCCCTGCTGCGCCAGGGTCCTTGATGCCCAGTCAGGGTCCTTGATGATGTCCCATCAGACCCTTCAAATACACGCTCACAGTGAGAGGCTAGGAGGGCACANTGCTGCGCCAGGGTCCTTGATGCCCAGTCAGGGTCCTTGATGATGTCCCATCAGACCCTTCAAATACACGCTCACGGTGAGAGGCTAGGAGGGCACATAAATGCCTTGCACATTTTGTAGATTCTGAAATCTGAACATCTAATTTGTTTTTTATTGTGTCCTACATTTTGGTGTATTGTGAGATGGCTTTTTATACGTTGCAGCTTTTATTTCATTTAGTCTCTAAAATGTCTCTCTGTCCTCTGGGAGATCAGAATTGCCCTGGCTTTGGTTAAGAGTTGCCCAGTGGGAAAACAGATTTATATAAGAAAAGCATATTCCTAGGAAAAAGAAAGAAGTGTGTGTGTGTGTGTGTGTGTGCGCGCGCGCGTGCGCGCACACGCACACAAACACAGACAGATGATAGATGATGATAGACAGATGATAGATGATGATAGATAGATGATAGTTAGATAGATGATAGATAGATAGATGATAGATAGATGATAGATAGATAGATAGATAGATAGAT